CGTTTTGTGTTCATTTTGCTTAGTTCTTTTTTCATAACAGATTTAATGTTTAGTATAGAGCTTAGAAAAAATTTGCAGTGTGTGATAGGCAAGAAATAAGGCATGTAGCAACATCAGTATGGCAAAGGGCACTCCTTTAAAGGCAAGGAAGGGCAAAAATACTTTAGGTCAAGTGATAGCGATTGCTGTATGAGTCGTACGATTTTTGAATCAAGCACGGGCAACGCTGGGCCATGCTGCTAGTATATATGTATATATATATATATATATATATATATATATATATACTCACACACACACACACACACACACACAGTTGCCTCTAAAAATATTGAAACAGCAAGGCCAATTCCTTTGTTTTTGTTGTTCACTGAAGACTTTTCAGTTTAAGATCAAAAATTTCTTCAAAAGCTTCACAAATGAAGAATGCAACAGTCTGGTGATGTCAGTGGGTTGCAGGCTTGATGCAGTTATTGCAAGTAAGGATTATGCAACCGAATATTAAATGTTATTTACTTTCAGACTATCTGTTCCTTTACTTTTGCTCACCTACAAATGGGAGGGGAGGGATCAGGTACAATTTTTTTAACACATCTCAATATAAATAAAATGAAATAAAAGCTGAAATTCTTTTGATTTTAAACTCAGATGTCTTCAGTGAACAACAAAAACAAAGGAACTGGCCTTTCCATTCCAATGCTTTTGGAGAGGACTCTGTGCACCCACACACATATACATATGAGTAGCTAGGTCTGCCTATCATTTGGTTTATTCTCCTCCCCTGTCTTTTGAACAATAATACAAGTTTATTCATTTTTTCTGTTTACTGTTGGGTTTCTGGTTCCTACTAAGGTCTTCTAATTATCTTTCATACCCAGTGACTCCTTGCATCATTTTAAATGATTACTATATATATATATATATATATATATATATATATATATATATATATATATATATAAAAAAGACATTTTTATGTTTATACATTCTTTTTATATTTTCATAAATGTCTTAAAATAATTGTTGGACTTTATATATATATATATATATATATATATTATAAATTAACTGATTTAAAATATGTTTTTTTTTTTGCTACACAGTTCTAACCATGTTTCAAAAATGGAAGCTAAAAGCTTCAAATTTAATTTTGTAATTAAAGACATTAGTTCCATTTCATCCTCAAGCGAGTTTTGGAGTAACTTATTTTTAAAATTACTGGGTTTTAAAGGCACTTCAAAAATTCATAATTCACGTTTCCAAGGATACAGAGAAATCCAATTCAACCAGACAAGGGATGGTTGCGTGTTCATTATCACTGTATTTTGTTGTATCAGTTATTAGTTACATTTGAAGAAGGGTTTTCGTTTAGGCAGGGGTAGGGATGTATTTTTCAATGAATTCTGACATACGTTAAATGCATGTCATCTGGATTTTTTTTAAATTTTATTTTTAACGGCAAAAATTCTTACGGCATTTTTTTCTATTTGTATATTTAAAGATTTTTGGAGGGTGTTTAGGTTAGAATACATTTTATTTACCTATGATTTTAAAAAATATTTTCACTTTTAATTTTTAATATATTTCTTTTTAAAACAAGTAAATGTATTAGAATTACTTACAGTATGTAAAATTATTTGCACATCAAGTATAAGTATGTATATTACCAAGTCACAATTTTTTTAAAATTTATATTTAAATATTATTTATGACAATGATGGCAGAAATAGCTAATTCATTTCTCTGATTTAGTAAACTTTTATTTTTTATAAACTTAGTAATATATAGTTTCTCATGTAAGTACAAAGGACATGTGTCATTTAATGGCCTACATCTAGCTTTTCATCATAATTTCATTTTACTGTAGGTGTTTTATTGGATTCTTTTAAGTGCTTGTAGTACTTTGAGAGAGGTGTTTTGGTTAGAATACGTTTCATTTAACTACAATTTTAAAAAATGTTTAGGTTAGAATTCATTTTAACTACAATTTTAGAAAATGTTTAGGTTAGAATTCATTTTAACTACAATTTTAAAAAATGTTTAGGTTAGAAAAATACATTTTTTAAAAATGTTTAGGTTAGAATTCATTTTAACTACAATTTTAAAAAATGTTTAGGTTTGAATTCATTTTAACAACAATTTTAAAAAATGTTTAGGTTAGAATTCATTTTAACTACAATTTTAAAAAATGTTTAGGTTAGAATTCATTTTAACTACAACTTTAAAAAATGTTTAGGTTAGAATTCATTTTAACTACAATTTTAATTACAACTTTAAAATATTTTCACTGTTAATTTTAATAGACTATATTTTTTTTTTATTAAACAAGTAAATAGAATTACTTACAGTATATAAAATTATTTTTTCACATTAAATATATGTATGTATATTACCAGGTCGCACTTTTTAATTTCATTTTTATATATATATATATATATATATATATATGGAGAGAGAGAGAGAGAGAAAGAGGAAGAAATGCATAGACTTATGGCTATATAGTATTGAAACACCAGTTCCCATATGAACATTAAAGTTAAGCAATGTCAAACCTGGTTAGTACCGAGATGGGTGACCACTTGGGATTACTAGGTGCTGTAAGCTTGAATGTACAGCTGGAGTAATGGATAATGTCTCATAATTGCTAATCAGATAGATGAGTTGTAATTTCATTTGGGTTTGTTATATTCACTTATGGACGAATATCCTTGTCCCCATCTATGGGTTAATTAGTCAGACTTGTGTGATGAAAGCATTATTATCTACCCCCACAAAATTTCTTAGAATCTAAAATATTTTCTGGTATTGAATAACCTGCAAAGTCTTGATAAGCCATAAGAATGAATGAATCAATCAAGAAATGTATGCTTTTTAAAGTATTACTTAAAAGATACAAAGATCCTTACATTTATTTTTTTGCATTCAGTGTATCTAAATGCATAATCTAGCTGATCTTAGTCATATCCCTTTAAGACATGGGAAATCATGACTCTCCACAACTCCCTGTTCTTTATAGCTTTATAGTTTACCTTTTTCTTAATCATTCTAATTACTCTTCTGCCAACCATTTATATGAGCTTGTTAAGCAAATTATTCAAAGCTTTCCTCTGTCCCGCTTGCTGTCAATATGTCCTGTGAGTGTCAAATTCTCCAAGCCCTCCTTCCTCATTAAGTATCTCTTTCTAAGTATTCTTGTTGTTTCTATTTTCGTTAAAACTTCAGTTCATACTATTCTCAGCATCCTTCTTTAGAACGACATTTCTGTCACCTCCATTCTTCTCCTCCCAGACTGTCCCAAATTCATAGCCATATCAGAAAGCCAATATCACAGCAGATTTGTTTCCAATCAAAGTTTACTATTTCTTTAGAAGACATCTTTCACTATTCCAGTGCACCTTCTGACCCCTCAGGAATACCAGGTGCTGTAAGCTTGTTTGTGTGGGTGGTGTGATGGATAACAGCTCGAAACACTTTTCTTTGTTTCTGTTGCCTCCAGTCTTCACCTGCGAGGAAATTGTTCAGCATTAATGGCCATGTAGGAGGACTAATAATTCATAACAGTTCAGCATGCTTTTCTTTGCTTCAAATGAAATGTTACTGTGTCTGAAGCCTTTTTACGCTATTTACATGTGGACTATTGTCTTCATCATTGTTGTCATAACCCTCAGCCTTCATCATATGTATGTTGATCTGGATAACCTACAGGAAAGACTTTGCTTAGCTTTTGGGAGGCAACTTTTAATCTTCCAATATGCTTTCTGATTTCAGTGTCCCATTGTCCTGCTAGGAATGACTACAAAACACTTATCCCACTCCAATTTATAGGCAGAAGCACACAAATGCATGCTAGGATTTTTTCCTTCATTTCATATGGCACAGTCCCGATCTGTCTTGTCTTGAAGTCAGAACTCTATGTTCACTTGTCTGAACTTGCTTTTACATGTCAACCCCAATTCTTAATTTGTGAACTTTTTGCCTTATTACTGTTAATTTGCCTTATTACTGTTAATTTGCTTTGCATATATTGTTTGCTTGCTTCATATTTTGCCCTGTTCTTTTCTTTGTTATTGCTAATTGTAAACTTTGTCAATTCTTTTTGTTGAAGAGTCCTGTCACTTATTTTGCATGTAACCACAGTTACTCACTCCACACCCATTTTCCATCCTCTGTTAAAATACTTCCTAGATATTTAAATTTTCATACTGGCTATACAGTTTGTAGTTCTCATATCAAGCTGTTTCTTTTGCTGACAAATATTCTGTTTTCTATTGCTATCATTTTTAAATATGTACTTTGATCTTGAACATATAAATTTATGATGGAAGATTCCAAAATGAGTCTACATTTAATACATTTTTACTTCAATCAATTACTTTCTCTTAATTAAAATTGCATAAAGTCTAAATTATGGTTAGGCCTATCACAACAAATGAATAATGCACAGTGTATTGTTTCAGAAATGATACTTTTTGTGTTCATATAATCTTTTATTTAAATCCCAACATATTTCATCAATGTATTTCTAGCACTACAGTCCTATCAAGAAGGCTCACATTTTATCTCTCTGGCCATAGCTCAATTAGGACTCATCTAAACATAAAAAAACCTACTAAACTGCATCTATAACATACTCATAGGAAATACAACTATAATACCTCATCCACATGTAAAAACATAAAAATAATGGAAGGATTAATAATAAAAAAGAAAAAACAAAAACTCAATAGTATCAACTACAAACATGGCCACAATCTGGTGACCATGTTTGAAAAATAAAAACAAAATTCCATTACTATATCTATATATAAAAAACATCTTTGATAATAGCTAATAAAATAACCCAAAAAGCTCAAATATATAGAACATTCAGATGATTTTTTACATACTTTATATCCAAGAAAATACTTATACAAACACAAGAAAAATTCAATAAAAAGCTTAATCACAGTACCTTGTCAGTCATTTTTTAATGAAACTTGTGTGTGTCTGTATGTATATATATATATATATATATATACACACAAAAGGAAAACTTATCTTAGCCAATGCCCTTCATTTTCTGACTTTATCAAGGCAAATGGTGTCTTTTTTCCATATTGTCCTTTTACAGATATACTCTGAATTTTTTTCATTATATATAACAAATGCACACACATATATTAAGTAGGTTATATGTCCATAAGGTTCAAGTCTTGCTGTTGGGTACTTTGTTTGCTTGTATAGACCGTCCAAATAATAAGACAATCACCTAATTAGATACTTAACTTTCTCGCTTTATTAAATGAAATCTGTACAAGACAAAGGCCAGTTTGTCATCTGCATAATATATTAAAGCCTAAAAAGCTTTTTATAATTCATCTAAACTGGATTCGCAAAAGTTATATTTGGAAAATAGACAAATATTGGCAAGCCCAATCCGCCCTCACACCAACCCTCCCTTCTTGTCCTCTTTCACCCTCTTCTGGCTTGACAACTGATGGTTTCTCTTTGTGCCTCACCAGTGGAGCAGTGTACTGTCAAAAATAGCAGTAGAGTAAAATCACTCCATCATTTTACTTAAGGCCTTCATATTCTCCTCATAATGTCAGCATCACTCCCTTGGCATGTGTCACATGTCTATCTCGCACCAATCAATGAAAAGCAAAGGAGAGGCCCAAAGAAAGACAGAGATGTTCTTCAATCAGATTGGCTTTGGGACAAGAGAAAAGCCAAATGGTTGAGGTTTTTATTAGAGTCAGTCTTCAAAAATAGGCACAAGATTTCCGGGGAAGACAATCTGAGGTAGATTCCCAAGTGTCACAAAAAAGACAGTAGTAAGTAATAATGAACTGAAGAAGAAAAAAAAAAAAGGAAAGAAGTGGGATTGTTGGCGGGGATTGACAAAATTATCCAAATCTCATCAGTTACAGTAAGAGCTTGCTATTTCTGTCTTTAAGTGAATTACAATTGTATTAATAATGTTTATGGGCACATGGCTGAGTGGTTAGAACATTCACTTTCTGACCATGCTTCCCGGGTTCAAATCTCACCGTGGTTGATTTGTCAGAAAGGTGGTTACTTGATGCTATCAGCCTGGGAAGGCTATCCCAGCAAGTGGCACTTTCAGAAAGTGCTTGAAAACCATGTCATGGGTCGACTAAAGCTCTGAGAGTGAAATTGGGTACAGCAAAATGTTTGAGAGCTGTCGATGGTTGTACTAGCAAAAAGTCACAAGTCATCGTGACTGAGGGTTTGAGCATACTGGCTTTGTTCAAACTGCTGATCACACCAGATAATGTGCTCTCTCCCAGAAACTCTAAGATCAGCTCAGTATAAATGCAGTATAAACCACAGGTGGGCTTTTGGGGTTTTGAACAACCACAAATGTGTCTGAGCAAGTGTTTGGATTAGGGATTGGTGAGCTGCTCTATGCAGTTAGGTATTTGAGCAGCCAGCCATTATAATAATGTTAATTTCTCAACTGATCAAAACAGGATTAACAATAACTGTTTCATGTATGACAAACTGAATGTTGTTTTTGGCTCATCAATATCAATAATGGGTCATATGAAAAAACAATTCCTGTTGAATCAACACAGAGATAGGTATTAATACACTTGGTGATCATGGCTCTCCACAGTTTCTTATCCTTTATAGCTCTTTGTAAATTATGACTTCTGCTATCCACTTACTCAAGCTCGTTAGGTAGATTATGCATTGTTTTCCTCTGTCCCACTTGCCTTCAATATGCCTTGTGAATGTCAAATTTCTTAAGCCTTCTTTCCTTATAATGTGTCTGAGAAATTCCAACTGATGCTGTATCTTTTTTTCCCCATTTTCTTTAAAACATTTTTGTAATTTTTTTTTTAATAATTTCATCACAAACCTGGAAATAAAACCACCAAGATGCAAATAGTTACTAAGAGTGTGTAAATAAGAGAAAAACAAGATATTATTAAGGAGGGAGTACAATAAAAGAACAAGAATTAAGAAGGCAAAATTTTTTGAAGATTAAAGTTGACTGGAAAGCAAGATGCTGAGAGAGAGTTCCACAAGCAAGAAGTATGAGAGAAGAAGCTGTTCGCATAGAACTCATGGTTACAACTCATCATTTTAACTATAAATGATCAAAACTGGCCACCAATCTAGCAATGCACTTAAATTCACAAAGTTGAGGTACGAAAGCAGAAAGCTCATCAGAACAATTACCATGAAAATATTTATAAAAAAATGCTCAGAAGTTATGCTACAATGGTGGGGAAAGAGAATGAAGCTGAGATGTTAGATTAGGACCAATAGCATTGCAAATTCTTTTTTGGATTTTATCAAAATGGTAGACTTATATGTAAGATGAGGAACAACGTAGGTCCAAGTATAAAGGCCTGGGGATGCCAGCATTAAGACAAAAAGATCTAGAAGAGTGGCCATTCAAGAAAACCTTCATTTCAGTATTTGGTAAGATCAAATCAGATCAAAAGTTTGTCCAGAAATAGCATAATGTTTCAACTTGTGAAGGAGACCATCATGTCAAAACTTGTCAAATGACTTCAAGATATCTCTGATTGTAAGGGGTTCTATTTTAATTGGATTATGAATCTGACAAAGAACTATATATCTCCAATA